ACCGCGATTTCAGTCCTGGACCTAGTGGCTCGCTTTCTCACTCTCTTGTCTGTCTCTCTGGTTAAATTAAAAAACAATAAATAAAATAAATAATCCTTTTGTTTTGTTTTGTTTTGGGAGGTTTTTGCTATAGGGCTTGAAAAACATGCCAGGCACATACGTGTGCATGCCCAACAAAACAGAGAAGCAGAGGAGAAGGGATTGTGGTGTGACCAAACCCTACGAAGCAGTGCTTTCTTCCCTTTCTCTATCTCTAGTGAGTGCATGTGCCCTCATACCAAGTGTGGAAAAAGAGAGAGAGAGAACACATTTCCATCAAGGAAAATAATTATTCTCCCCCCCCTCTCTTTTTTGATATTTTTGTGATAGGGCAAATATCTTGTTGAATATCAAAGTGTTACTTCCTCTAAGTAACCGTGGTCAACCATGTGGAAGTCCAGTGCCTTAACCACCATGCCACTTGCTAGCTCCACAGCTTTCCTTACTTTAAACCTGCACCTGAGGGTCAGATGGTGCCACCGTGGTAATAGAACTGGACTCACAGAGTTCACATCCCACGGCTTCCCTGAGTGCAGTGGCTGCGTATGTACCCATGACCTGGGCCACCAAGGCTAACAAGGTACTGAACTGTGAAGATCATAGCTGGGGGTGCCTTTCTCTCTCCCTCTTTCTCTTAGAACAAATAAATAAAAATGTAAAAGAGAAAACCCTGCACCTCTATAGCAAATCCAGAGGGAAACCATTCTTTCAAAAAAATTAAGTAGAGGAACCAACAGGTGGCGGAATGGTTCCGTCGCTGGACTCCCACCTAGTCAACTGCGGTTCGCGTTCTAGACCTGGTGGCTTCAACTCACCCTGGACACATGTATGTGCGTGCCCAAAATCCTGAGAGGAGAATAGAGGAGAAGAGATTGTGTGGTGTCCCCCACCCATCCCCCTGGCAGGTCATTTCTCGCTTTCTGTCTGTCTTTCCGGCGAGATCTCTCCAAGGGAAAAAAAATGTAGTAGAATAAGATACTCAGTATTTCATGGCATGGTGCATGCTCTTACATTAATTGCAGTAGAGATGGCCTAAGTCTGAGGAAAAGACAGCAGGTCTTGGCCCATTCACTTCGTGGGCCGGGTCAGCATACTGTGCCACTGAGCAGATGCCTCTGCTGCCTATCCCCGTTTGTCCTTCCATGACCAAGGTGACAATATTGACCACCGGGAACCTGCTCTGGACAGTACCCTGACATACCTTCCTTTTCATTGTCCTGTGTTATGTAACAAAATGTCAGTAGCAACATTTCTTAGTTTCTAAGTATGCCAGAGGGAAAAGTCTTCTAGTTCAGTCTTTGTCTTCTGGCACCTTCCACATGCTGATATGCATTTACCTTCACCTGTCTTTCTTTTTTTTTTTTTTTTTTGAGGGATTTTTGCTATAGGGCATGTGCACTCGCCAGAAGAACAGAGAGACAGCAAGCGAGAAGTCACCCCCCAGAGGGGATGGCCACACCACAATCCCTTCTCCTCCATTCTCCTCTCGGGATCTTGAGCATGCAGGCACAAGCGCCCGGCATGAGTTTAAGCCACCAGGTCCAGGACTTGAACCGTGGTCGACCACATGGGAGTCTAGCGACATAGCCATTATGCCAACTGTTGGTTCCTGTTTTTAAAGTCAATCTTTAGCACTTTGCTTCTTTAACACTTTGCTCCCTTAGCAATGTCTTATTTTCTTGCAAAAATATAAAAAAATCTCCTCTAAAACCTATTTATTGCAGGTCTGCCAGGTGACATCGTGGCCAAGGCACTGAACTCGCACATGGCCATCTGTAGTTAGAAGCCTAGACCTGGCTGCTTGCTTTTTCACTCCCCCCTCCCCCACTGCCTCTTTCTCTCTTTCTGGTCAAATTAAAAATAATAATAATAATAAACTTAAATACTTCTAAAAAAAAAACACCTACTTCTAGAATGAACATGATAGTAATATACATGCATGTATTTTCAAAAGGCAGTCAGATCAGCACAGACACCAGGGAATTCCACATCTGCAGGTCTCTGCCAGCCCATCTGAATCATCTCTCAACTCCTTTCTTTTGATTTTACTGCAAGACTTCATTTCTGCTGCTGGAATTACCTCCTGAGTCTTCCTATCCTTCAGACACCGACCCTCTGTAACTATGTCTTCTTAGCTTTCTAGCGTAAAATTCACTTGATGCGTTAGTGGAAGTTGCAGTATCAGAACTTACTTTCTGGTGCAGGGAAAGTTACGGCTTCGATCCTCTTTCCGGCAGTCAGGGCCCTCCCACCTCATCTGCTGGGAACGGAACACTCTCTTTAGAACGCTTTCCTTAAGGAACTTGGAGATGATCTTGTCTCTTTGCACGTTACTGAACACCTTGCCTTCGGGAAGCCAACTCAGCTTGTCACAGCCACCACACCACGAGGCGAGGGGCAGCTGTTCCGGTGACACCACAGCCCTCTTTGGAATAAAAAAAGGAATTGCAGGTTACCTAAAAGTCATGAATAAAAGATCAGCCTAACTGGAAAAACAGCTCAGAGCGGTGCAGCGGCTACGCTGCGGGATCAATTTAGTTTAATAATACGCTGCGCGCAACCTAAGAGAGCTGCTGGCCCGTCATGGCAACTCGGCATCACAGGAAGAAGAGGCCTGGGGAGCGTTCTTTCTCCCCTTTTTTTATTTTGGGGAAGGGAGAGAGTAATAATTAAACTGTGGTTTTTGAAAATGTAAATCTATTGGTCATTTTTAAAACTTACTTTCGTAGTATTTTCAATTAATGTATAATAATTATACATATTTTTGGGTTTTTTTTTTAAGAACAAGCAAATTTTTTAGAATTATTTTATTAAACCTTATTATTATTATTATTTTTTTTTTTTGGAGAGGTTTTTGCTAGAGGGCACGTGCACTTGCCAGACAGAGAGAGACAGAGAGACAGAAAGCGAGAAGTCACCCCCCAGGGGAGATGGCCACGCCGCAATCCCTTCTCCTCCGTTCTCTCGGAATCTTGGGCACACCCGGTGTGAGTTTAAAGCCACCGGGTCCAGGATGCAAACCGCAGTCGACTACATGGGAGTCCAGCGACATAGCCATTATGCTAACTGCTGGTCCCCCATAAACCTTATTTATTTATTAATTTAAATTTGACTAGAGAGGGATAGAGTGAGAGAGAGAAAGAGAGGGAAAGTGAGAAAGCAAGCCACCTTGTCTGCAACTTGAACTACAGTCAGCCATGTGGGAGTCCAACCCCCTTAACCACCTGCTGGCCCCAACAAGCAAATTTTTAAAAGCTTATTAATAAGCATGCACATGAGAGACAGAGAAAGAAGCATCCTTCTCTGGGTTCTGTCACACCACAATCCCCTTGCCCCAGGCCTCTAGGTCTTCAGATCCTGGGGCCCATGTGCGTGGTGTGTTCCAGGTGGATGGGGATTCCAACACCTCAGTCCAGCACACTACCACACATGCCGCTGAGGTGGGCCAACATACTGGTTCTTGCAGAATAAAAATGGAAATAGGAGGACTATTTACAAATATGCAAAACGGAAGCACTTGTTATAACAACGCATATTAGGGCCATAGACCGAGACGCGCGGTTGGCTGGGCTCAGGGTCACACAGGTAGTCAGCTGTAGAGTACTTGTAGCCTTTTTGTTTTTTGGAGAGGTTTTTGCTATAGGGCACGTGCGCTCACCAGAAAGACAGAGAGAGACAGAGAGACAGAAAGCAAGAAATCATCCCCCAGGGGGGATAGCCATGCCGCAATCCCTTCTCCTCCATTCTCCTCTCGGGATCTTGGGCATGCACGCACACGCGCCTGGCGTGAGTTTTAAGCCATCGGGTCCGGGACACGAACTGCGGTCGACTACGTGGGAGTCCATCGACATAACCATTCTGCCATTTGCTGATCCCGGGTTTTTCTATTTTGATAGCCTTTTTTTAGTTCAGTAAGTGCTGTCTCTGTTCGCCCTTTCTAAAGATCTGATAATGATATGGTAATTCATTAGTGATGCTCATCTTTCTAGGAAGCTGGTGAATGGCAGCTCAAAACCTACTGGAGAATGGGTTTTCATTTAGGCTTCTCTGTGACTGGTTATGTGAATATAAAGAAGCTGAAGAAATCCTTCACTTCTCGAAAGCAGGCAAACTCGCTTTGATTTGTGTTTATTAACTCAGTAAAGCCAAGGGCTGAACATAAGGTAGTGATGTGTACTTTCTATTTTTTATCCTAACTATGCCAATCTAATTATAATTCCCTGAATCTGAAGCACTGCCTTTTACTTACTGAAAAACATTTGAGTCTGGTTTGTGTACTGTCAAACAAAGAATATGTAGCACTTAAATAAATAACAATAACATTTAAGGTCAGCCTCGTAGCCTTGTGGTTAAGGGAACTGGATCCCACGTTGCCAATCACGATTTGAACCCTAGCCCTAGTGGCTTGAGAAACAAGTGGGAGTGTCCCTGTGTGCCCCAGATCCTGAAAGCAGGGAGAAATGGAGCAGAGATTGCAGCATGACCATGCCCCATGGGGGAGCTCTGTTTCTTTCTCAGTCTCTCCAGCTCTCTCTGGTGAGTGTACCTCTAGCAGTTAAAAAGAGTAATGACATTGGAACCAGCAGATGGCATGATGGTTGGGGCACTGGACTCCCACATGGCAGACTGCGGTTCCTATCCCAGACCCGGAGGCTTGCTTTCTCACTCTCTCTCTCGAGCACCCATGCTTTGTAGCAAGTTAAAAAAGAATAATAGTGGGAACCAGCAGTTAGCGTAATGGCGATGTCGCTGGGCTCCCACGTAGTAGCCCGCGGTTCGCGTCCCGGACCCGGTGGCTTAAAACTCATGCCAGGCACGTGTGCGTGTGTGTCCAAGATCCCGAGAGAATGGAGAAGGTACTGCGGCAAGACCATCCCCTCTGGGGGGTGATTTTTCGCTTTCTGTCTCTGTGTCTCTCTCTGTCTGTCTGGTGAGCGCACACGCCCTATAGTGAAAACCTCTCAAAAAAAAAATAGTGATAAATAAAATTAAATGAATAATTCTTAAAAATAAGATGATAACGCAGTTTAATACTTGTGCCCTACTTCGGATTTCAGCCAAGGGTGACGAGCTTCAGAGAGCTATAAACATTCTGTCAGTTGTTGTTTAGAACAACAATTAAAAACATGCTCAGGGACCAGCAGTTAGCGTAATAGTTATGTCGCTGGAGTCCCATGTAGTCTACCGTGGTTCGAGTCCTGGACCCGGTGGCTTAAACTCACACTGGGCGCGTGCGTGCATGACCAAGATCCTGAGAGGAGAATGGAGGAGAAGGGATTGTGGCATGGTCATCCCCACTGGGGGGGTGATTTCTCACTTTCTGTCTCTCTGTCTCTCTTTCTGTCTTTCCAGTGAGCACACATGCCCTATAGCAAAAATTTATCTTAAAAAAGAAAGAACATGCTTAAGGACCAGCTGCTGAAGGGGTGGTTAAGGCAGCTGGATCCCATGTGGCTGAATCCACAGTTCAAGTCCCATGCCTGGTGGCTTTGAAAACATGCATGTGCATGAGTGCCCCAAATCCTGAGAATAGAAGAGAAAAGATTGCAGCATGGCCATCCCCCCCAATCCTCCTCTCACTCCCCCCTCCTCCTGGCACCCCCCGACTCCTCGGAGTGATTTCTCACTTTCCTTCTCTCTGGCAAGGACACCCACCCTGTAGTAAGTTAGAAAAAAGAAAAGGAAAATGTTTAAATAAAATGTAAAAAAATATATATATATGGGTCAATTTATACAGTATATAATGAATCACTTTTTAAAAATTATTTTATTTAAATTCATTTATGTATTTACTTCATTTGACCAGAGGAGGAAAGAGCAAGAAAGAGAGAGAGAAAGGGAAAGTGAGAAAGCAAGCCTCCAGGTCCAAGTTTCGAACCACAGTTGGCCATGTGAAAGTTCAGTGTCCTTAACCACCATGCCACTGGCCGGCCCCAAGAATCACACTTTAATAGCTTACTTCTGGGGCTGGGCAGTGGCATGGTGGTTAAGGGCTCTAGGCTCCCACATGGCCCACTGCTGTTCAAGTCCCAGACCTGGTGGCTTGCTTTCTCCCTTTCTCTCTCTCTCTGTGTGTCTCTCTCTGGTCAAATAAAAATAATAATAATAACAAATGGAATTAAATAAATAAATAATTCTTTTTGGAAAAAAAAACAGCTCACTTCTTTGGCATGTTGAATAGCTTAAAACATGGTTTGTTCTTTTCTATTTGTGGAGATGAGAGTTTAGAACAAAGCACTCAACTTCGCTGGGAAGAAGCCAGAGAATATGTCTCCCAGCTTAGTTTTTCCATGACAGAGAAAAAGAGAGCGGCACTCCCCACAGGAGCTTTCCACTACAATCCACGGACAGTCATGGGCGCCCAGCATGTACAGGAGGCCTTCAGACAAGAACCCAGGACCTTCCGATGTGAGTTCAACCTCATGGAGTGTAACAGTATCACTGTACCACCAGGTTGGTAAAATTAAGAAGCAGAATTATATGGGGCCAGCAGATGGCGCAGTGGTTACACTGCTGGACTCCCACATGGCTGACCTTAGCTCGAGTTCTGGCCTCAGTGGGTTGAAACTCATGCCAAGCATGTGTACGTGCATGCCCAAGATCCAGGAAGAGAATAGAGGAAAAGAGATTGTGGCGTGGCCATCTCCTCGGTGTGCGATTTCTCACTTTCCCTTTCACTGTCTCTGACTCTTTCTCTCTCCCCCCCATGAATGCACGTGCCCTAAGGCAAAAGCCTCTTAAAAAAGAAAAAAAAAAAAAAAACAGCAGAATTTTGTATCTGCTGATCTGGCACTAACGAATCCCATGGTACAATCGTGAAGCATTTCTAGTCTTGGCCAGGGGTTTGTAAATTCGCTAAGACGCTGGCCAGCAACATCCGTTTTGCCATTCACGCTTACAGTTCACCTCCTTCCCTACTCCTTGCCACTCCGCAGGGTGGTCCTCCAGTTGGTTCATAAAGAAGGTAATTCCAAGGAGCCTGGCTCCACAGGCAGTGGAACATGTTGAAATAAGGAGTGGCTGGGACCAGCAGTTAGCGTAATGACTATGTCACTGGACTCCCACATAGTTGACCGTGGTTCGAGTCCCGGACCTGGTAGCTTAAACTCACACCGGGCACGTGTGCGTGTGCACCCAAGATCCTGAGAGGAGAATAGAGGAGAAGGGATTGCGGCGTGACCATTCCCCCTGGGGGGTGATTTCTCACTTTCTGTCTCTCTGTCTCTCTCTGTCTTTCTGGCGAGTGCACATGCCCTATAGCAAAAACCTCTCCAAAAAATAAATTAAAAAATGAGTGGCTACAACAAATCTATTAGTTCCATTTTTGTCCCAACTCTGGTAGTAGTTTTGCAGTTTTTTAAAAAATATTTTATTTATTATTATTATTTTAATTTGACCAGAAGAGACAGAGGCAGAGAGAGAAAGAGAGAGAGAGAGAGAGAGAGAGAGAGAGG